AAGGCCCAATAAACTTTGATGTCAATTTCTTGGACTTTATTGCCCTTCACACTCTAGTAGTGGTTGTCACCTTCAGAAACACATGCTCCATCTTTGCAAACTCAAGAGACTTCCTCCTCTTGTCAACATTAGACTTCTACATACTCTAGACAATCTTTATCCTCTCTTGGATCTTGGATCAACTACACCTTTTTAGTGGTCTATAGACTCAACTCTAATCCTATTGTGACTGACTTGCCTTCTTTATACCAACATCGCAGAGTCCTATACTTCCAACCATACAAAGCCTCAAAAGGCATCATTCTAATGTTGGTATGAAAACTATTGTTGTAGGTGAACTCTAATGGAAAAACCTCCTCTCAACCACCCAAATGGTCTAACACACAAACCCTAGGAAAATCTTCTAAAGAATGGATAGTCTTCTTCGACTTACCATTCATTTGAGGATGATAAACAAAACTTGACCTCAACTTAGTACCAAAGGCTTGGTGTAGACTCTGCCAAAATCTGGAAATGAACCTTGAATCTTTGTTAAGATAATACTAAAAGGCACCCTATGCAACTATACTATCTCTTATATGTACAACTAAGTTAGCTTATCCAAGGACCACTTGATGTTAACAAGTAGAAAATTGGCACACTTGGTCAACCTATCCATAATCACCTAGATAGCATCATTGTTCCTAGCTAACCTAAACCCTAAACCCAAGACACCTAGCTTCTGGTGTTTTACCTTGGCTTTTTAGCAAGTTAAACAAGTTGCCACACACTTTTCCACTTCCCTCTTTATACCAGGTTGCAAAAAAAAAATTTGAGGCCCCAATACATCTTAATCATACCGAGATGTATATTAAATCTACTCTTGTGGCCTTTCTCCAATACCATCCTTCTCAACTCAAAATCTTGAGGTAGGAAAATCTTTCTTTGAACCTCAAAATCCAATCTCCACCCAACTCAAATCCGACAGCCTTCTCTATTCCCAACATCCCTCTAATTTTAGGTCTTGTATTCGTTTTCCTTCACTTACTTCGAGAATTCATTAACAATGGTAGTAATTCTACAACTAATGTGATCCTAAGTCAACCCCACATAGAGATTCATATTTTTAATGTTCACTAGCTCCAACTTCTTAACCATCAAAGGGGACATGTGGATAGATTTGTTACTCATATCAATCCACCACCACATTGGCCTTTCTTGGATGATACATCAAGTAGAACTCATAATCCTTTAGAAACTCCATCTACCACTTTCATCTCATGTTCAGCTCTTTTTGATCAAATAGATAGCTTAAGCTCTAATGATTATTGAAGGCATTATACTTGGCCCTTTACAAATAATGCCTCTAATTCTAGTTACTTGTGTAGAATCTTATGGATCAAGCTAAGCTAATCCTAATTTAAAAATAACTTAGGTTAGCTTAAATTAACTCTAACTACCTAACCTAATCATTACATCTAACAAGCTAATGATTACTAAAACAATTTGTTGATATGTCACTATCAAAAGCCATGTGACTAATTAACAACTTGGATGGCTTATCTACCATGGTTTAGACATCCAAACCACTTGGTTGGGAAAGTTGACATCCAAACCAAGGCCCAAATAAAATCTTGGCCCATCCAAGCCCTAAAAGCCCAACATGGCTTTAGCTAGTTACACCTACCCTAAACTACTAATTATGCCTCAAAATAAAATATATATAAGGACAAATGATGGAAGAGCATGGACCAAGGATCCAACTACTAGAGCCATGGCCAGGAGATTACAAAAAGATTTGATTGCTACAGAGCTTGGTGGGCCTAATAGGCTTGGTGGGCCTAGGGTACTCTTCACATGGGTTATACAATGACCCACCTTATTTGTACATAATATAGTAGTGTAGGATTTACATGTTTTGGTCTTGTATTTTTGGGCAACCTAGATTAGGATTTTTAGACCATAGGCTTAGTGGGTCTATATTTGGGCTTTATGGGCCTTGGCTATTTTGGTATCCAATATTGGGCTCATTTTGTTTCTTCTATTATTTCCTATTTTTTGTATTTTATAGGCCATTGTATTTAGGCCCTTAGGATAAGAAATTAGGGAGAATACTAAAGTAGGCAAGGTTGGCTAAATTTAAGTTTCATTTAGAAGCAATTTAAGTTGCATTTGGGTCACATGTTTTAAGCCAAGGGTGGTTGCACATGTGACGTCCCAAATCAACCCTAAATGGCTACTAAATTCATAAGCAAACCCAAACACATGGTAATGCACTTGGGTGGCCGAGAATTTGAATTCAAATACCATTTGAATTCAAAATCTTAGAGCCAAAGCATAGCATGTAATTGGTGCCAATTATGTCGAGCCTCTTAGCCTATAAATGTAGTTTTCCTTCACATTTTTACTTATTTTTGATACATGAGAGTTTCAACACATTTTGCTTAGCATATTCTCTCCCAAAAGTCTCCAAATTCTTTGCTTAGACTTAGAGAATCCGAGAGCCTTTAAGCTAAACCGTGAGCAATCATTTGCTCTTCTTGCTTAGGTGTTTCCATCTCTAGTTTAGGTGTGTCTTCAAACCTTCATCTCTGGAGTTTCACGTGCAAAATTCAATCTCAAGGAGAAGATCTTGGCCTTGGAGTAAGGAAAAGGAGGTTCTCTCTTCACTTCACTTGCCTCACTCTATCATTTTTGGTATCTAGAGCTTTGGTTTCTCCTTTGAGATTAATTCATTCATTTCCACTGATTAAATTGTGTTAATTCTGTCCTTAAATGTCTTGATTGTGTTTTATTGATTGGATCTAATTTTTTGGACGTTTCATTGATAGATCCAAGTCTAAGTGATTGTGTTTTTTTCAATTTGGCAATCACATGGTGTTTAAGATTTCTACTTATGCTATTTTTTTTTATTTGATTGAGTCTTGTTCTATTTTTTTCTTTTTGATTCGGTCGATTGCTTTATTTGCATGTGATTTTGATTTTTAAATCCTTCCAAGTTGTCTAGTGTCGCATCCCAAAAATTTTCGATCTTGCGACCTATGGTTTAGACATCCTTTTAAAAATCTCATTAATTAAGGAATGCCCGGATACCAGACTAATCCTTGATTAATGGTTTTGAAAATAGGTTCATGGAGTCGCCACCAATATTTTACTCAAAACATTGGAAAAAGAAAAGGTTTTTAAAAGTCCAATAATGGCCTTGATAACCAGAATTGGGTTCGGGGGTCGGTTACGTGTAGGGAAGGTATTAAGCACCCCTACAACGCCCTAAATCGGTACCCTATGATGAAGATAACACAATAAGAATTAATAATCTAAATATTTAGTCCCCTATATGGGTTGTTATTTACATGCTTAAATTTAAATTAAACGATTGACCCTAAAATGTCTACATGACTACTTTTATTACAATAATATTTAAAAAATAAGAAAATAAAAGGAGAGAAGAGTGTTGACTGAAATAACTCTTGTTTGAGCTTTATTAGATCTTTAAATATGTAGACCTTTAGGCACTTTTTGGCGACCTAACACACTACAGTGTTCCTCACAAAATCTCAAGAAATACAGAGGAGAGAGAAAGAGAAATTTTGAGCTCTAAGGAGTCTTGGACGAAATTTTCTGGCCCTGAGAACTGTTCCCGAGTCATCTATTTATAAACATCAGAACTAACATGAATGACCTGTTCCATATTCAGAACGGCCCGTTCTGGGCCAGTTCGTTATGGATAAAATATGAATCTGGAATGGCTCGTTCTAGAATTGAAACGACCCGTTCTAGGTTCGAATCTTACTCATAACAACCTGTTATGGAATGGCCCATTTCAAACTAGGGTTTTAGGCCTTCTGATGTTGTGTCCTGTTGTTTCTATACTTGGGAGCTCCTTTTTCTTTCATAATGGACGTCCATTTCATTGCTTTTGTTGGTCCGGACGAAATTAGGTGTGTACATCTAGAAGTCATGTTTAGTCCTTATCATGTCAAAAATTCAAGATGTGCTTAGTTTAACCTAGTTTTACACTGATTTGATTTATGCATTTTGAATCTGGTCGAATTGGTTCTATTGTGTTTTGGTGCTTTGGTGCTTTTAATTTTACATCATTGAGTTCATATTCATTAATAGATCATTAAAGGATTCTTAGAGTTAGGTTTCTATTATGTATTTTTAAAGTTTCAAATTAATTTTTCTTCCAAAAATTCAAAAAAAAATTCTCAAGTTCATTCAAGTTTTGAATTCAAATTTTAAATCCAATTTTGGTGCATGATTTATGGTTATGTGAATATGGAAAAACACTCTAAAAACAGAACAAAGGTAGGGCAAAAAAAAACAAGTTGAAGTGATTTGAATTTGAAAAAGGAATCAAACACTACAAGAAAAAGTCAAATTTCCCACGGATTATTTCCCATGGACCAAAATCCGTCGGAAATTTCCCACAGATTTTTACATGAAGGAATTTCCGACGGAATTTCCCACGGATTTATATCGGTCTGAAATTTTTGATAAATGAGGAAGATGAGAATTTGGTTATTGATTTACAGCAAATTTGTGAAGAAGAAGTGAAAAATGTTGTTAATGAAGGAAGATTTGAGGTTTTTGACAGTGAAAACGGGGTGATAGTTTCTACTTTGGATGATATTTTTAATTTAGATTTGCATTTAAGTCCCCATGAGCTTAGGAATGTTCAATTTGTAAGTGTTGAGATGGCTTATTTATTTTATTACTGGTTTGCAAAAGTTAATGGATTTGCCGCAAGAAAGAGCAAGATTTTGAGAAATATTAAGGGGGAAAAATTACAACAAACCTTTGTTTGTTTCAAGGAAGGATTTAGAGATAACCGTGGTTTGAACATACAGAATCGAAAGCGAAAGCAAACACCGGAGACAAGGTGCGGATGTGAAGCAAAACTAAGAGTGCATATTGATAGCAGATGTGGACTATGGTACATTACATATTTTGTGGATGACCACAACCATAGTTTTTTGGAAGATAAGTATTGTAGAATGTTAGCTTCTCATAGAGATATGAGTGAGTTAGATATAATGCAGTTGAATAAAATGAGAAAAGTTGGCATAAGTACTCCTCAAGTTTATGGGTCACTTGCAGATCACCCTGGAGGGTATGAGAGACTTTCTTTTTGTAAAAAGGACATATACAATCAAATTGGAAGGCAAAGAAGGTTGCAAGGTTTGGATTCAAAATGTGCACTGGAATTTTTGAATGGTTTAAAACGCAGTGATCCTTTAATGTATGTTGGTCACACTGTTGATGAGGAAAACAGATTGCAACATTTGTTCTGGTGTGATGGCATGATGCAGATGGAGTATGAAGTTTTTGGTGATGTGTTAGCATTTGATGCAACCTATGGGAAAAATAAGTATTTATGTCCTGTAGTTGTATTTTCTGGTGTTAATCATCACAATCATACGATAGTATTTGGGAGTGCTATTGTTTCAAATGAAACTGTAGAAACATATATATGGGTACTTGGGCAATTTGTAGAAGCCATGAAAGGAAAGTCTCCAATGTCTATTATCACTGATGGTGATGTTGCAATGAAAAATGCGATAAGAAAGGTATTTCCTAATTCACAGCATAGATTGTGTGCATGGCACTTATTAAGGAATGCGACAACTAACATTAAGAAGCCAGCATTTACAAAGGATCTAAGAAAATGCATGTTGGGTGAGTATGAAATTGGTGAATTTCGAAAGAAGTGGTCTGAAATGTTGAACAAATTTGAGTTGCATGATCATCCTTGGGTTATAGACTTATTTGAAAAGAGGAAGATGTGGTGTACAGCTTATATTAGAGGGGCTTTCTTTGGTGGTTTTAGGGCAACTTCTCGGTGTGAAGGATTACATTCTGAGTTGAAAAAATATATTCATCCGAAGATTAATCTGACAGAGTTTGTTCAACAATTTTATCGTCTTGTGAGTTATATGCGTTATAGGGAAGTTGAAGCTGACTTTGCATCAATTCATGGTGATCCCGTTCCAGAAACAGATTATCATAACCTTGAGCTATCGGGGGCAAAGTGTTATACGAAAGAAATACTAAAATTATTTCGTGATCAGCTTCATAGTTCATCTTTGATGAGGGTGATTGGTTGCAAGCAGACATTTGGTTGTTGTATATACATAGTGAGAAAATATGAAATGATTGACAAACAATGGCATGTGTCATATCAATCAACACCGTGTGATTTGAAGTGTTCGTGCTTAAGAATGGAATCAGTCGGCATTCCATGTGATCATATACTTGCAGTGTTGGTTCATCTGAATTTATCAGAGTTACCTAAATGTTTGGTGTTAAAAAGGTGGACTAAGGTTGCGAAGGATGAAGTGAAGGGCAATGTTAGTAGACATAGGTGGGACTCTGAGAAAGATGCTAGATACTTGTCATTAATGGAGTATTTTAAAGAGCTAAGTACTTTGGCATGTGAAACATATGATGATTATGTTGATAAAAGGGATAAAGTTGTAAATGAATTAGCTGAAATAAGAGGTAAAAAATTGTGATGGCCTTAAAAGGTTTAATTGAGGATTAAAATTTTTTAGGTGGCAGTAGATAATTGTGAAAGCATAAATGAAGGAGTACATAATTTTGAAGGCATAAATGAAGGAGTATTTAATTTTGAAGGAATAAATGAAGGAGAAGATAATATAAATGAGAATGAGGAAGATGAGAATTTGGTTATTGATTTACAGCAAATTTGTGAAGAAGAAGTGAAAAATGTTGTTAATGAAGGAAGATTTGAGGTTTTTGACAGTGAAAACGGGGTGATAGTTTCTACTTTGGATGATATTTTTAATTTAGATTTGCATTTAAGTCCCCATGAGCTTAGGAATGTTCAATTTGTAAGTGTTGAGATGACTTACTTATTTTATTACTGGTTTGCAAGAGTTAATGGATTTGTCGCAAGAAAGAGCAAGATTTTGAGAAATATTAAGGGGGAAAAATTACAACAAACATTTGTTTGTTTCAAGGAAGGATTTAGAGATAACCGTCATTTGAACATACAGAATCGAAAGCGAAAGCAAACATCGGTGACAAGGTGCGGATGTGAAGCAAAACTAAGAGTGCATATTGATAGCAGATGTGGACTATGGTACATTACATATTTTGTGGATGACCACAACCATAGTTTTTTGGAAGATAAGTATTGTAGAATGTTAGCTTGTCATAGAGATATGAGTGAGTTAGATATAATGCAGTTGAATAAAATGAGAAAAGTTGGCATAAGTAGTCCTCAAATTTATGGGTCACTTGCAGATCACCTTGGTTGGTATGAGAGACTTTCTTTTTGTAAAAAGGACATATACAATCAAATTGGAAGATTTTTGCCGTCTGAAATACCGAATTTTCTTGTAGTGAAATCTGAGTCACACCAAAAGCATGCACTAGAAAATTTGAATTTCAACTTGTTTGAATTGTCCTTGAAATCCGGAACCTATGCATGTGATTAGTGGCTAGAAAAATTCTAGAAAAGGAAACATTCCTTCTTATTTGAATCTAAAAGAAAATTGAAAAAAAATTATATATGTAAAAAAATCGTTTGATTGAAAAAGCCAAGATGAAGAAAATTTGAAATCTATAAGTTTTTGGCCACTAATTCATTTGGTTCTTGCAATTTTATGTGCAATCCTTTTTATTTACTTCTTATTTTGGTTTTATATATTAATCTATTCTAGTGCTTTTCCAAGTTTCTAAATTTGAGTCCTAGCTTCTTTGATGTGCCTTAATTTTAGTCTTTTTAGTCTTACTTGGCATTCTTTGAGTTCATCTACATTTGATCAATTCTCTTTGGTATAAGCTTGCTAATTGTTTTTTTTCTTGTCTAAGTTTTCATTTCTTCATTCCTGTGTTGGAAGTTGCATTAAACCTTGGCAAGAGGAACAAACATTGACTTATAAAGATTAGAAGAAGAAGGATTTCTAAGACTAAGCAATTAGACTTTAAAATTGATCTTAAAATTTGTCCTAGACTCCTAAATTCCTTCACAAGATTGAACCCTTTTCTCATCATTGTGAGAAGCCATTATATGTCTTGATTTGTTTGTTCAAGTGTTTAGGTATCAATAAAAGAAAAACTCAAGCTTAAAGACGGATTTGGAAAGCAAAACTGGTTCCTAGAAAAATCTGTCACAAAACTCGTCTCTAAGACCTTCACAAATTCTGTCACTAAAATGTGTTTTAGACTAGTTTCAATTTCTTGCAATTTTCTTTGTTTGAATTCATTTGTAATTGCTTGGAGGGAGTATTAAGAAGCTGGTCAGGTATATCTAAACCCTTATAGCCTCACTCACGCTAGTGTTTGTGGAAATGGCTTGAAAATTACATATGTTCTTCAAGTTTTCACATAGGGATCAAACTAGTTACTTTCTATCCCTTCATTGTTTTTAGCTTTCATTTGTATATTTACATTGTTTGGAAACATTGTTTGCTGAACCTTGAACGACTAGTGTAGCTTATATTGCAAGTTCTTTCATGTTAATGTGGTTTTAAAAAAAAATGTGAAAACTCATAAGCATAAAAAATAACCTTGTGAAAAGAATTTGGAAGTAAGACTAGCATAAAAGGATTTAGTAATTTCCACTTGAAAAGGTTGGATTATTAAGTGGCTCTTTGTAGCTCACCTCCCTTGATAGTTTAATTTGTATACTTAGACCTCTAAGTGTTTAGTTTTGCTCCACCAAAAACAAAAACAAATTTCTTTTGCATTGCATAAATTTCTTCAAGTTTAACTATGAGTAAGCATTCCTTAAGTGGTAGTGACTCAAGTTCTCCAAAAAGTTTTTCTCACATTGCTCAATATCTTAAGGCACTAAAACTATGGAAGAAACAAGAAGTCATAGCTAAAGAAAAAGAAGAAATTGAAAAAGAAGCACAACTTGTTATTCTAAAGGAAGAAATTCAAATGGTTAAACTTCAAGAAGAAAAACTTTTGGTAAAAATCAAACAAAAAAAAAAAAAGAAGTAGCAAGAGTTTTCATAGTTCCACAGGAATTAGGTAGCATGAACTTAAATGACTACTATCAACCTACACCTAGAAGAATGATAAAAGAACCAAAGGTAAGGGAATCAAGAGTTGATCTCCCTTTCTTTCATGGAAAAGAGGATGTGGATGTCTCCTTGGATTGGTAAATGAAAGTGGAACAAAATTTCACTTGTCACCAAGTAGGAAAGGAAAGAAAGCCTTTTTGAGCTTCTAGACCTCCTAATGTTGTTTTGGTCCATTTTGATGTCACATTGGGCCCTTAAGGTCCTCCTGTCTTCTTATTATTAGTCACTTTCCTTACTTGGATGTCCTAGACAAAATTGGATGTCTACAACCACCAAGTAGGCGTGACATTTAGGGTAAATGTGACTTACATTTGTGATGCATTTCCTTCACATTTAGAATGGAAATGCACATATTCCTTAGACCTAGCTGCCACCTTAAATCATTGGCCCATGACCTCACACCTAATCTATAAATACCCTAGGTTATGCTTCATGCTACTACTTTGGATTATATTGATATTTAGTAAGTCTTTGTGCCTTAGTAACTTTCCTTAGTCACCTTGGTCTATTCGGCCACCATCCTTTTTCTCTCTGCCTTGAGTGATCAAACCCTAGGAGTGGCCTTCATCCACCTTAAAGTGAGTCAAACCCTAGAGTGCTTCTCAAACCTTTCATCAAACACCTTGTCTCTACCACCATTTTCTACCATTTTTTTTATCCAAGTGCTAGAAGACTTGAAGAACCATAATCCTTAGAGAAATGGAGGCCTTCCATTGGTATTTCTCATCCATCAATGGTTGAAAGGTTCCATCAATTCTTCACCTTGGAACTACTTCTCCAACCACCTAGAGACAAGAGGATACTTATCACTTTCTCATTGGTTCTTTTAGATCTAGTTGTCTCCTACATGTCTCAAACATGTCCACATGGCTTTTTTATGATTGGTGGAACTAGATCTAAGTGTCTCCTCCTTGCCTCCTAGATGTTTAGCTTCCTCTCCAAGCTACTTAACTCTATATATAGGAGTTTGACCCATTTTGTACTCACTTTAAGATTTATACATGATTTGGACAAGATTACCACTCCAAATTCTTTCTCTCAAAGCTTATTTCTCTCTTTAAAATTCTTTCTTTTTCTTTTATCCTTTCTTGAGTGTGGTGAGAAATTAAAAAGGCTTATCATTCTTCAACGAGTGTGGTCCATAAAGGAGACTCTCTTCATCATTTTTTGTAGTGGAAATGGCTTCTAGTACCCATGAAAGCCATTGAAGCAGCTTGAAGGAGTCTAAGAAGCGAAGATCCTTCCTTAGAAGCTTGAAGGAGAAGCTACATCAATCTTGTTTCTAATAGAGTTTCCATCATTTTGACCTTGGGAATTTAAATGAGTATGCATTCAATCTAGTGGGTGACCCTTGCATTATTATGTCATGCTAAAACTCATTTATCTCAACTAGTCACTACAAAACTTGTTAAAATCCAATTAAAAATTTAGTATACACTTATTAATTTATATATATATATATATATATATATATATTTGGCTTAAATATGTTTTGAGTCTTTCAAATTTAGGATAAATTTATTTTTGGTCCCTCAAATTTAAAACTGTTATTTTTAGTTCATGTAATTTTCAAAAATCTTATTTTAGTCCCTTAGGTTACCAATAACATATCTGAAAGTGACAAATTGAAATATTTATGTAGTATCATATAGGTTTAATGTGATATTTTCACTAACAATGACACTAGTAGGTAGATTTTATGCGATAATATTTGATAGATTTCCTAACAAAATTTGAGTTTAAGGACTAAGAAAACATTTTTTAAAATTTCAAGGACTAAAAAAATTAATTTTAAATTTGAGGGACTAAAAACATATTTAAACTTTTTTTTTATCGATTTATATGATATTTTTTCTCACTCCTTTTGTGTTTCTGGTTTCTTATTCGAAATAAAATGGATTGCAAATTTAAATAGATGGATGCACTGAACATGTCAATGCCTTTTTCTGCAATAATTGTAAACACCTATTTTGTTCCATCAATTTTTCTAATAATTTATTTCTCAAAAATCTCCAAATCAATTATTCAAAACTAAATGAACAATATATATATATATATATATATATTTTGTGATTTGTATGTTTAAAATAAAATAAAGTGATTAATTATAGCTTTTTCCTTCCAAAATATAATACAAAATAAAATAACAAAAATGAAAAGAAATAATAAAGTCAAGGAATGCACAAATGAGACAGAAAACAAAACCAAGTAAGAATCCGGAAGGCACCATTTTGAGTTTAAGAGACAAGCCTGTGCCCCTGCACTACTCCCATTCTCATACAAAGTGGTGCAAACCTTGTGCCCCTGCACTACTCCCATTCTCATACAAAGTGGTGCAAACCTTATTCTGTAGTTGAAAAGGCTGTTGTGTTGCCTACTTGCAATACTCCAACCACAACAGACAAGCAAGGAGCCTCACGCTCTCTTAACGGGGATTATTCTCCTTCTGATTGACA